CTAGAAAAAGAAGAGTAAGTCAAGGCCAAAGCTTATATAAGGGGGGAAATTATAAAAATCAGAGTAGAGGGCTGGTGATTTAGCTTAGTGGTGCCACCACCCGCCTCAAAAGTGCAAGGTCCCAAGTTTGATCCCTGGAACCAAAAAAAAAAAAAAAAAAAAAAAAAAAAAAAAAAAAAAAAAAAAAAATACAATACAAAGATCAATAATTCAAAGGGTTGGTTTTTTGAAACATTAAATAAAATTGACAGATCCTTAGCCAATCTTCTCCAAAAAAGGAAAGAAAATACTCAAATCCATGCAATTAGGAATGAAAAGGATAAAATCACAACAGATCCTGCAGAAATCCAGAAAAATCATCAATTCCTACTTTGAGAACCTGTATTCTAGTAAGATGGAAAATGGAAGAAATAGACAGAGTCCTAGATACATATGAATTCCCAAAGCTGAACCACGAAGATATAAAAATTCTAAATAAACCAATATCAGTCAGTGAAATTGAAGATGTAATTAAAAATCTACTGAAAGAGAAGTCCCAGGCCCTGATGAATTCACTACTGAATTCTGTGAGAAATTTAGAGAAGACTTATTGCCACTGATTCTCAAATTCTTTAATGAAATTGAAAGGGAAGCAATACTTCCAAATTCATTCCTAGAAGCAAGCATTACCCTGATACCAGAATGAAAAAGGGATCCAACCAAAACAGAAAACTATAGGTCAATCTCCCTAATGAACATAGATGCAAAAATCCTTAATAAGATACTGGCAAACAGAATGCAATAAATCATCAAGAAGGCTGTACACAATGAACAAGTTGGATTTATCCCAGGGATGCAGGGATGGTTCAACATACACAAGTCAATCAATGTAATACACTATATTAATAGAGCCAAGGACAAAACTGTTTGATCAACTCAATAGATGCAGAAAAAGTGTTGGATAAAGTCCAACACCCATTCATGATAAAAAAAAAAACTCTACAGAAAACTGGAATAGGTTGTCTTTATCTCAATCTGATAACAGCCGTCTATGACAAACCAACAACCACCGTCATATTAAATGGTCAAAAACTGAAATCTTTCACTCTAAAATCAGGAACAAGACAAGTGTGTCTGCTGTCACCCTTTTGGTTCAATATAGTCTGGAAACATTAGCCAGAACAATTAGGCAAGAGAAAGAAATAAAAGGATAGGAAAGCAAGAAGTTAAATTATCATTGTTTCTGGATGACACGATACTCTACATAGAAGGCCCCCAAAACTCCATCAGTAGACTTCTAGATTTAATAACCAAATTCAGTGGCATAACTGGATACAAAATCAACACTCAGGGCCAGGGATTTAGCTCAGTGGTTCCGCTGCCTGCCTCGCAAGCAAAAAGTCCCTGAGTTCAATCGCCAGTACCAAAAAATAAAAAAATTAAAAGCATCAAACCACAGCGGTATATGTGCACTCAGGTTTCTAGAGTTTGTAATAGCTAAATCTTGGAAACAGCCCAATTGCCCATCAACTGATAAATGGATAAAGAAAATGTTCTTTGTTTTGTTTGGTTTGGTTGGTTTTGGTTTTTTTGAGACAGGGTCTCACTATGTAGTTGAGACTGACCTGGAACTCTCTTTGTAGCCCAGGCTGGCCTTGAACTCACAGTGATCCTCCTGCCTCAGCCTCTCAAGTGCTGGGATTATAGGCATGCGCCACCATGCCAGGCTGTTTTGTTTTTTGGCACTGGGGATCAAACTTGGGACCTTTGGATTGCGAGGCAGGTGAGCTAAGTCCTCAGCCCCAAAATGTGTTTGTTTTTTTATTTGATGGAGTACTGCTCTGCCATAAAGAAAGATAAGCTTGAGACATTTCTAGCTAAGTGGATGTGCCATGGGACACACATGTAAACACCACATTGTTTCTCTCGTAAGTGAAACTGGAAATAAGGACTGAAATGTATAATGGATGTTGGGAAATGGGAAGAAAATATTCAAATAGACGGGGAACAAGGAGGAAGGAAGGGAAAGGAAAGAAGGGTCAAGAAAACAAGTGCAAACAGAAGGAAAAAATGAAAATAAAGCTTTTGGAAATAAGAAGACTGAGAAAGGTTCAAGGGAGGGGAAGGAATGGAAAAGAAAAGAAGAATTAAGATAGTTCATGTGCGGGTACAAATTCCCTATGATAAATGTGATCATGTGCATATCTACAGTGTACATTATGTATATCTAAAAGTAGTACTGATACTGTCAACGTTACACCAGGGTGACAAGCTTGGTAGTGAAGCCAGGCATGGTGATATACGCCTGTAATCCCAACACTTTGCAGCTGAGACGGGAGTATCGCCGGGAGTTCAAGGCCAGCCTGAACTGCACAGCAAGACCCTGTCTCAACAAAAGGAGAAGATTAAAAAAGAAAGACTGACAGTGGATCCTCAACACAAACAAAGCCAGAAATAGTCACATTTTAAAACAAAATGAAAGGTGGAGTAGTCGTTGATGAGTTATGCTGCAACTATGATGCCACTCAGAACACAGAGTGTTGGCCAGGGGTTGTGTTTTACTGGATCCAGAGCCAGGGATTTAGCTCACTGGCACAGTGCCTGCTTCACAAGCGCAAGGTTCTGAGTTTGATCCCCAGTACCAAAAAAAATTTAGTGTTTTACTGGATCCTAAACATGACAGGCATAAAGAATTTTATAGTTTACAAAGAAAATAACAAGCACAAAATATCACAGAGAAAAAAAATTTTTTTGGTACCAGGGGTCGAACTCAGGTCCTTGCACTTGCGAGGCAGGTGGCGGGGACCTTGTGCTTTGGCTTTCGAGGCAGGTGGTGCCACCACTGAGCTAAATCCCTGGCCCACAGAGAAAAATTTTTTTAGGGGATTGGGACTTGAACTGATAAATGATTGATTACTACAGAGGAAAAACAATATGTATCTGGCCAAAGAACTCCTCAAAAGAATTCTGGAGCCGACTGGTGAACAGACAGGTGAAACATGACAAGAACCTCCTAAGAAGATAGGAAGACCAGCAAGATGTCAAGTGTGCAAGTGGACAAAGAAAGTGTGATTTTTTTATATATACAATGAAGTACTATTCTGCCGGAAGAACTTGAGACATTTACAGCTAGATGGATGGACCTTGAGACCACACTCTCAAGTGAAATAAACTGGACACACATGTTTAAATACTGCATTGTTTCTCTGGTGTGAGACACGGAATGTGGAAATAAGGACTGAGATGTATAATGAATGTTGGAAAATGGGAAGAAAGTGTTCACATGGGAAGAGGAACAAGGGAGAAAGGAGGGCGAAAAGAAGGAAGAGACAGGAAAATAAGTGCAAATAGAAGGAACAAATGGAAACAAAGCTTTTGTACATGGGAGGGGAGAGGGCTTGGGGGGATGGGATCAAAATAAATAAATAAATAAATATTGGTAGTCATTGATTCCCGGCCAAAAAGTGAGAAAGGTTTTTAGCCAACTCAAGTCTCCTTAAAAGAAAGAAAGAAAATACCAAAGAAGACTGGAAAACAAAACATATGCGCTACCAATGTAAGTGATATCTGTATATGGAATATTGCTGTTGTCATGTGTTAAAACTGCTTTCGGTGTAATAATTAAAGTAAAGATTATTTTTGTGAGAGTGTTTTATTTGTATTCTCATTGTAGCTCACATAGGAATTTATTTCTGCTGTTGTTTAGATTTCATAAGCAAATACACAGTTGTTGAAACGTTTATCGTAAACAGCTGTCCCATATTTGATCTTTTATTGTATTGATATTTTATTTTCCTGCTAAGTGCACACTGCACAATATAATAGGAAGTTCCTGACAAGAGAGGTGACAAGTATGTCCTGCCAAGCAGGGCATGGTAGCGCATGATGGTAATATCAGGACTTGGGAGGCAGAGGCAGGAGCATTGCCACAAGTTTGAGGCCAGTCTGGGCAACATAGTGAGTTCAAGGCCAGGCTGAATTACAGAGCAAGACCCTTTCTCTTTCTCCCCCTCCCCCCCCCACACACACCCCGAGTATGGCCATCCAAACAGGAAAGGAAAGCTAAGCACACGTGCTGTCAGTGTAAGCGAGACCTGTATGTGGACCGTGCTGTTGTTTTGTGTGAAGACTGCCCTTAGGTGTGATAACTGAAGCAAAGATTATTTCTGGGGCAGAGCTTTGTATTTTCATTGTAGTTCATGTAGAAATTTATTTCCACTTTTTAAAAAGATTTTGTAAGCAGGTAACAGTTCATGTTGAAAATGTTTATTCTAGGGGCCGGGGATTTAGCTCAGCGGTTCGGTGGCCTGCCTTGCAAGCGCAAGGACCCGAGTTCAATCCCCCGCACAAAAAAAAAAAGAAAGAAAGAAAAGGTTATTCTAAACACTCATTACATATTCAAATTTTAATATTTTTGTTTTCTTGATATTTTATTTTCCTGTTGAGTACACAGTTTAAATAATAAAACCCAAAATTAATGATTCATCAAGAGAAATACCCCTAAAAAATAAACGTGGTCGTTATACACCTCCCATAATGGGGCTTTTAAAAAATTTGTCATGATGCCCCTATTAATTTTGACTTGGGTTCAGGAGGAGGCTGAGACATCTATTTCAGCGGGGAGCCTGGTCCAGCTGGACCTGCAAAGGCTAAACCACCAGCCAAGTTGCTAAGTGGCAATCATAAAACGACCATTATGTTAAGTGAAATAAATCAGACACACGAGCTTAAGTATCACATGGCTTCCCCACGAGAAATGTAATCATATATGCAAGCGTGCTTATAAAAATTAAAATTAAAAACAACAACAAAGGCGAGATTAGGAAGCGCTGTGACACAGCCGCTTGGGCATGCTCAGATCAGTCACTACGAAGCCTGGGAAAGAAGAAAGGGGCAGGGCGGGGCTACGCTGGGAAAGTCCTTTGTCCCCTTTCTTCACTCGCAACCCATTCGTCAGTTTCGACGCGAGCGTGGGGGAGGAGGGATTTACCGGAAGTGACGCACTGCCGGGCGGAGTCACAGTGGGCGGGCCAACGTCAGCTGGGCCATCTCCTAGGGTTTGGCTTTAGCCTCGGGAGTCGCGCATCCGGGTTCCTTAGGCAGCGTTTTTCGGGGGGTTTCGGGGAGCGGGACCGCAGCGGCGGCCCCGCAGGCGAGATGTTCCGAGGGTTAGGCAGTTGGTTTGGCTTGCAGCCGCCGGGGACGGGGACAGATGGCAAGCCGTCGGCCGGGGACACTCCGACCCAGCAGCGCTCCGACACGGAGGCGGAGCCCACAGAGGAGCAGCAGCCGGAGGACCCGGAGCTCCTCCACCAGGCCAGAGGCCTCAGCAGTGAGTCTGACCTGCCGCCGGGTGGGAGACTGTGGTGGGCAGAGCCCCTGGGGTGCAGCGCGGCCCGCTGGCCGCCGGGGTGGGGGACAGGGAAGGAACGCGTGTCGTTTTGTGAGCAGATCCTGTCCTGTCCCTTGGAAGTTCCTGGTGGCCTGCCACTTTGTTTTTTGTTTTATGGTTTTTTAAGGTTTTTTTTTTTTTTAGAGGGTCTCGCTGTGTAGTTCAATCTGGCCTTGAACTCGCTTATGTAGCCCAGGCTGGCCTCGAACTCTCG